GGAAAGAGTTATCTATCTTCAGCAAAAGTTTTCTTCAACAGTGTCTTGATTTGGAGTGCTGAATAAGCCATTGTAATGTTATGTCTGCCAGGACAGATAAAACAAAATTAAAAACTCAACAGCCTGTTTGCAGAGTATAAAAGGACAACAGAACACCAGCAGGTTAATACAAATGAAAAAAAAACCAAACAAAAACAAACCCCAGAAACCACAGGCTCTCATTTACACTTCATTAAAAACTCAGTACTTAAAACTCCAGGTAAGGTTTTTTCCTGTTGTTTTTTGTTTGTTTTTAAATTATGCACACTTTGTATTCTTGAAATATGATGACTGACATCAAGTTCTCTAAGCCACAGATGAAGAACTGTTGGAAAAGCAAAGAAAGATTTACGATGACCGTAACATGAACTGTAAAATCCAGACTAGAATGAAATGCAGTGTGAGAACAAAGGCAGAAATACACAACCAGAAAGAGAAGGGCAAACATCTGACAAAGCATTAAGAAGCCATTTAGGTAGGCTGTAGGAGTCCCAAGGTCTCCAAAAGACATGCAACACTGGACTAAAATTTGATAGCTGAAATTGGTACCCCTCCTGATACAACCTAAGGCATTGGGCTGAAAACTGCAGCAGTTCACAAACTGATTCATAAGCAGCTTAGATGTTTTTGCCTCAAGGCAGTAACATCTGTCACCGAGGTAGGAAGGATGTCAGGGGGTAGCAACAGCTCTAGCTCTCAAATTTAAATTTGATGCCACATCTGTCCTAAGTTCAAGACAGCATTCCATGAATATCCTGGCAGACCACCTTAGGCACTGAGACTGCAAACAAAAGCATGCCACGGCATCTAAAACAAAGCTAATAATGATACGCTAATCTTCCACAGTCTCTCAGGACACAGAAACTGGCAGCCTTACACCTACACCTCCTGATGAGACCAGCTAGGCTGCAGTTTGCACTGAAAAACAACTATCACCTCATGCAACTGCATTGGCATCAATCAAAAATGCAGAGGAAGAAGACAGCTCCCAGTCTCCTCCTTAACAGCCTAGTAGTTTCATCACTTTAATAAGCTAAATGTATTTTCATTATAGTTTTTCATTATAAATTATATTTTCCAGTCCCTTGATCTCCCTAGGTTCTTGCCCAACCTCTTTTTAGTTTTTCAAGGTCTTCCTCAAAATACGGCACACAGTGCTCCAGCAATGCCCGCGCAGTTCCAAACACACGATATACGCAGTCTGCTCTCATTTGTTATTTCTTTGGGCAAATATTCAGGAACCAGGTTAGCCTTTCTAGGCACAATGTTACACTGAAAGATACTTCAGTGATTCTCAGTTAGGATTTGAGTCTTTTTAATCACTACTCCTAGGACTTCCACAAGTAAGTCATCTACACGGTTCTGTATTAATGATCATTATTTTCATTATTTTCCATTTCCAAATTTTAGCATAGTTTTTTGCATGCTTTTCTCCTTCAGGCCATCCATATAAATGAACCAGGATCAAAACCTATTTTCTCCAGGATCATTTCAGAAATTAAGCTGTTTTTACCAGTTTCTAGTCACAATACCACTTTTGAGATCCTCCACTGCAGCCTTGCAAATTTAATGAGGATGAAGCACTGCATTTCTAAAACCTCAATCACCTTCACTGCCCTTCACCTATGCAGATAATCCGGACTATGTTGTCTTGCTCAGTCTTTATATCCCAAAGTCTAATCTTCCCCAGTGTAACAGCACATTTTGTGTGTTTCCCTCACTCAGAAATAACTGTTACACCACGAGCTGCAGCAAACCTGGGTCTGGTCTCCTTCAAACCAACAAACCCAAGTTGAGTACACCATTTCCAAGAGAAGCCCTCACTGCCTAACACATCCCTGCACACAGCTGAAATTTTCCCCAGCTCTCTGAAGCCCAGATGTCATGGCATAGTCTCCTCACCACTTCCACTACTTGGTCCTCTTGCCCTAGGATGGAAATTTCCCTTGCTGCTGGGAGAAACTGGTTTTCTCCCATTCCCACTCCCACCGTCTCTCATTCAGCTGAGCCCTACAGAGCTGCCCAGCTCTTCTAAACAGTCTGGCTTCCTCAAGAAGCAGCTATAAATATCTACCCAGGCTGTATCCCTCCCATCCAGCACCACTTGTCTCAGCAGCGTGCAGGGAAGAAGGGTGGCACAGAGGCAACGTGCCCCCAGGCAACTGCTGCTGCTGGCTCAGCCTGTGCTTTCCCCCTTTCTCCTGCTCTGCGGAGGGAATGGAAGGGGAGAATGTGACAGAGGAAAGGGACAGGAAAGCGGAGGAAAGTGAGGAGAGAGAGGGAGAGAGAGAGAGAGGAAAGGGCAAAAAGCAAAGACAAGATGGGAAACAACTTCACTGAATTCAGGATATGCTCTGCACATCTCCAACAGGACAGAAGCACTAGTCCCTCAGTTTGAGCAACACCACCATACAGCCACATGCATGCAAGGCCTGCTTACAAAGTAAAATCATGCATGGAGCAAAACACTTACCAAAATTTATTAATTATTCATATTCAGTTACTATTTTTTCAAAAGTAACACAGTTTTTGTGAGGGATTCAATTACTTTGGGTTTTAAATATGCTTTTCCAAGGCCCCATCAAATTAATATCCTAACGTCTCATGGAACTAAATAATCCTAGAACTGACTTTTGAATTACACATAATTCTATATTAAAACAAATACAATTGCATGCAATATTTGCAACAAAATCTTTCTAAGTAAATTGAGATTTTCAGTTATATATTGGAGTTAGATATTCAAATCTCATTAACATTTTTAACATCTGATCCAAAGTACAAAGTATACACTGATGATGCTATAAGAAAAAGAAGCTTACCAATGTTATCCTTCTCTTTACACGAAATAGAATAACAACAGATTTCTCTGTCTTGAATAGCTGAAAGGTTTCTACAGAAAAAAAATTATAAAATAAGTAGTGTTATAACTCCACAAAAACTGACAACAGAAATTTCCATGAAATTACATGTTTTCTGCTTTTTACTCAGTGGGTTCAGTTCTATCCTCAGATATTAAATTTTTAAAATATGCTATGGCACACAAAAACCCTCACATTTCTTAAATGATAAAGACTAAAAGGATATAAAGTCATTTCACAAAAATTCAAATTTCTCATTAAGTCAGTATAATAGTGAATAATAAAAACACAGAAATCCATGAGCTAAAAATAACATTTTGTAGTGGCAACCAAGTAACATTACCATGTCTTAGCATTCACCTTTTACTCTTTTCATTTAGAATTCAGAAGTTTTATCTGTAGTAACTGTTATGATCAAATAATAGTACTCAAATGATCACACCATTAATCTTCAGGATGTTTATTATATCATACGTAAATATATCAGCTCTGATTCCTACTGGAAGGGTGCCTCTACATTTAGGAAGAAACTGATTCTTAATTAACTTCTGTTTCTTTCTGGGAATTTCCCTATCCGCCTCAGAGTTTCTGAGCACTTACTTTGTTATTTTTTCATTTACTTATCCTCACACAAGTGACACAGACATGCAGGAAACAGATGATTACGTTCCTGGAGCAGATGGGGAGCGGATGCACCGAGAAGGAAGAAGTCTTGAGATCACACAAGAGACTCTAATAAAGAAGAGAACTAAATAGTGACCTCCCTGGACTACGGGAGAGTAGACTTAGCCTCTTCAGGGATCTGCCTGGAAGAGTCCCATGGGATAAGGCTCTGTAGCAAAGAAGGGCCCAGGAAAGCTGGTTAATATTCAAGGATCATCTCCAAGCTCAAGAGCAGCCCATCCTAATGAGTTCGGAAAAAAAGCCAAGAAGCATAAGTGGATGAACGACAAGCTCCTGCGAAACCCAGTCACAAAAAGGAAGCATACAGAAGGTGGAAGCAGGGACAGATAACCTGAGAAGAACACAGAAACATTGTCTAAGCATGCAGAGACACAGTTAGGACAGCCAAAGCCCAGCTGAAACTGGATCTTGTGAGGGATGCCAAAGGCAACAAGAAGGGCTTCTATAAGTACGTAAGTGACAAATGGAAGACAAGAGAAAATGGGGGCCCATTGCTCAGTGAGACAGGGGACCTGGTTATGCAAGACATGGAAAAGGCAGAAGTACTGAATGCTGCCTTTGCTAGCAAGATTAGCCTTCAGGAATCCCATGCCCCAGAGACCAGGGGGAATGTCTGAAGCAAGGAAGTGGTACCCTTGATGGAAGAGGATCAGGTCAGGGAATACATAAGCAAACTGGACATAGAGAAGTCCATTTTTCCTGGTGGGATGCACCTACGAGTGATGAAGTGGCTGACTGATGTCATTGTAAGGCCACTCTCGATAACCTCTGAACGATCACGGCGACTGGGAGACGTGCCTGAAGAGTGGAGGAAAGCAAATGTCACTCATCTTCAGAAAGAGCCGGAAGGAGGACAGACCGAGGGAACTACATGACAGTCAGCCTCACCTTGATCCATGGGAAAGTGATGGAGCAACTAATCCTGGAAACCATTTCCAGGCACTTGACAGTCAAGAAGGTGATCAGGAGTAGTCTGCATGGATTCACAAAGGGGAAACCATCCTTGACCAACTCGACAACCTTCTACAATGAAATCCACAGCTTGGTAGATGAGGGGAGAGAAGTGGATATTGTGTACCTTGACTTCAGTAAGGCTTTTGACACTGTCTTCCATAATATCCTCATAGACAAGCTGAGGAAGTCTGGGCTGGATGAGCAAATGGTGAGGTGGACTGAAAACTCATTGAACAGTTGGGCCCGGAGTGGGGTGATCCGTGGCACGAAGGCTAGTTGGAGGTCAGTAACTAGGAGTGTACCCCAGGGATCAATACTGGGTCCAATCCTGTTCAACATCTTCATCAGTGATCTGAATGATGGGGCAGAGTGTACCCACAGCCTGTTTGCTGATGACACAAAACTGGGAGGAATGGCTGATACACCAGAGAGTTATGCTGCCATCCAGAGGGACCTTGACTGGCTGAAGAAATGGGCTGACAGTGGGCTGAACATGCAGTTCAACATGGGGAAGTGCAAAGTCCTGCCCTTGGGAAGGAACACCCCAGGCACCAGTACATGCCAGGGGCCAGCTGTCCGGGAAAGCAGCTTTGCAGAAAAGGACCTGGAGGTCCTGGTGGACACCGAGTTGAACATGATCTAGCAATGTGGCAAAAAAGGCTAATTAGGAGGAATGTTGCCAGCAGGTCGAGGGAGGTGATCTTTCCCCTCTACTCAGTTCTGGGCTCCCCAGTACAAGAGGGATGTGAAGCTACTGGAGAGAGTCCAGTGAAGGGCCACTAAAATCATTAAGGGACTGGAATATCTCACATATTAGGAAAGGCTGAGAGAGCTCGGACCATTTAGCCTAGAGAAGAAAAGGCTCAGGGGGGATCTTACAAGTGTGTACAAATATCTGAAGGCAGACTGTAAAGAAGATGGAGCCCAGTGACAGGACCAGAGGCAATGGACACAAACTGAAACACAGGAGGCCCCCTCTGAACATAAAGAAACACTTTTTACCTCTGAGGGTGACTGAGCACTAGCACAGGTTGCCCAGAGAGGTTGCAGAGTCTCCATCCTTGGAGATATTCCAAAGCCATCTGGACATGGTCCAGGGCAATCAGCTCTAGGTGGCTCTGCTTGAGCAGGTGGGTGGACAAGATGACCTCCAGAGGTTCCTTCCAACTTCATCCATTCTGTGTTTCCTAAGTCCCTGTTTAGGTGCTTAACCTTCGGACCATGCTTCTTTACTGAAACTTCACTTCCCACTGATTAAACTTATGTGATTTGAGACATAGACTCCTATTCTGCAAAATTAGTGCTATACTGGCCATTTTTACAAAATTGTATACTTCCTTTACAATTACCCCTAAAATGCATCAGTTTAGATTAGTTTCAGTAATCTGTAAGTATATGCTTTGGATAAATGCCAAAAATATCTGAATTGCTCAAATTTACAGACAGTAATTTGAAATGGTTCTGTTCTAATGCTATTCAAGCATTAAACTGACAGTACAATGTACTCTGAAAAGTGTAAGTGAGCCTATTACTATCTATAGCAGTTGTATCTTCAGTGATGGGAAAACAGGATTATCTGAAACAACTTTATACAACTGAAATAATAATCAAGAGAAGTTCAAATCTACTGCAGTCAGTTATCAGCCTAGATTGCTATTTCAACTGCCAGCAGAGCTCGGAGTGGAGTATCTGAGAATGTAAAATGGAATCTGTTATAGCTGCTTATTGCCACAGACTACCAATGATTTTCTCTTACGTATCAAATTTCACAGTGTTTCAGCTTTTTACACAGGCCAGCTACTTACAATTTCTCAATTAACTGCTTTTCATCCAGTGCACCTGGGAGGTCTCTTTTATTTCCAAGGACTAACACCTGAAAGAAATCATTCATATTCATGTTAAATCCAGGAGCAATAAAAGTTTATTTTTATCTTTAACCATTTGTTGGCATTATTTTGGATCTTGCAGTCAAGAATTTAGAACACAATAGCGGACATATTCAAAATGACCAATGACTGTCGGAGCATCACGGAAATCCCGCTCCTAGCCAGAGTCAGATGCTGGATGCACACCCTCTGAAAACTGGATCCAATTATTTCTGGGTGTATCAGTATCAGAAATCTCCTCTGGAAGTGAATCTCTCCATTCTGGATGGCATTATGGGATGGGGTCAGACTGCACCAAGTGGATTCCTTTTGCATGCAACTAAACCTGGAGGAGAGCATGCACCAGGTGCACTCAAGCCACCAATGAACATTCAATCCACAGGCCAGACTAAAGTTAATCAAAAGAAGAGCCCCAGAAGTAGAGGCTGGGTCCTCAAGACCCAGACATGATTCTCTCTACGATTTTGCTCCCCTGCTTCTTAATGTTGACATACTAAACAGCCGGGCATCCAAACCATGTATCACTCAAGCACCAGTCAAATGACTGATTCCTCTCCCTCCCCTTTGAGCATCCATGGTAGAAATCACAAGGACAGCCATCAGGAATTAAGTCTGAGAAATGCAGAAAATTGACTGAATAGATGCTGGAACTTAAGAGTTCCTACGTAATACTTAAGGCTTCAAGTATAAATTAAGATCAGATGAATGGGTTGAGTACATTCTAAAATAAAATAAGCAATGGAAGGTTTTTCTAATTACGATTGCATTAGTGTTTTCCAGATGCGTTACAATTCTGAGTCAAGATTATCCCATTATTTCCCATGAATCTGGAACACATTAAAACTCATTATTTGTAGTCTCAGATTAATAAAGCTACCTTAAAATCTATAATGCCAAAGCCCAAGTACAATAAATTGAAGGAAGTTCAATACTAGTTACTACCTATGAAATAAAAATAAGTGAAAAATACATTACTGCACCTTGGAAATTACTCTGCTGGTCAGCCTGGGCAATTGGAATGTGATAACATACAAAGGAAAGGAACTTAATTAAATACTTCTGAAGATATGAGAGACCTATCATTTCAGGAAGGAAAAGTGTGAAGTAAAACAGGATGTGAAGACAGTACAAAGGACAGACAATGTCACTCGCCATGAATAGCGTGACTGTAGATTTCTGTAGGATTTGTTCGATATCTACTTAACATAAAAAACCGTAACAGTAATGGCAAATCTTATAAAAAAGATGGAGCGTCACTTGAAAAATTCTCCTTCGAGAACAGATATGTGAGAACTTTATTCTCACAATGATTTCATGTTAGCTGTCTGTCTACTCATCCTCAGATGACTTTGATTACTTGCACTGGCCAAGTGTCCAAATATTTGCTTACAAAAAAGGGGCCAAGCAAAAGCCATCAAGTTGTGAATAACTTCTTCCTGATTTGTATGTACCATTGTTTTCTTTCTTATGATCACAGGTATGAACTCTCACTTGGTGATGTCAGCATCAAAGATCAATGCTAACCTGATTGATTCCTACCAGCTCTAAATTAGCAGAGTACATTTAATTAAACAACATTATTCTCCACCTCCATAATTCCTCACTAGAATTTCAGCAGAATATACTATTATTTGACACTTCCTACTGGAGAACAGATGCATATTTACATTTTTTCCATGCAGTTTAGTTTGAAAAACTAAGAAGTCAAGAAAAAGAAAAAGTCAGGACACAGAAAAAGTCAAGCTCCTCCACAATCTCTGGAAGGAGAGAACACTATTTGATATTAGTGTCTGCCAACCTTCAGAAAGACAAATCTCACATGCCTTAAGATACTGCCAGAAACACAGCTGGGTCACTGATTCAAACCCAGCCAACAAGGGGACTGACTGGAAGTAATTACTGTCTGATAATGCCACATGTGAAAATGATTTTTTTCCAAATCTATTCTAACCTTTAGACTAGAAAACATACAAACATACTGCAGCACTGATAAGACGTTGCGTCCTCTGAAAAAATGTTACAATAATTTTTGTAAGAACGCTCAGTGTATCAAGGCTGCACCATATTTCAGCTAGTATTTTCGAGAGTCCAGAGGAACCAATTCATGAGGATTTAGGCTACACTGTCCACATTCAGGTAAGAATAATAATCAAAATACTTACTGGAATTCCATGCAATTGTGGCTTATCTATCAAACTGTGTAGCTCATTCTTTGAAGCTTCTACTTTTTCTATGTCTGCTGCATCCACCATGTAACTGCAATGGCAATAGAGTTATTTATGGTATTGTCCATTACTTGCAGAAAGTTGCATTAAAACATCTGAAATGTGACAAATGTGTTCGCGTTGACAACAGCATTAAAACAATTCTGAGTTGTATAAGCCCTGCATTTATTAATACAGGAAGATACAGAATTAAATACAGGCTGTAGGGAAAAAATGGCCTGGAACACGCAATTACTTATATACCTGGGCTGCTGAATGTGTAAAGCATGCTATTTTTATCGTGTTGGGTCTTCTTATGTGATTGAGGTGGACAGGAAGAAAAGCAGATCTATATTAGCAATATATATTTTAAAATACATTTTCTATGGGCATACACAAGAAAACTTACACAACTGCATTGACTCCTCTGCAATAACGCTCCCACATGCTTCGAAACCTTGGCTGCCCTCCAATGTCCCATACCTGAAAAAGGTAAGAACACCCCAACCCCAAAACTTTTTTGAACTACACAGTACGAATAGAACAGAACAAAAGAACTCTTACGTGCAGCATGCAGGTTGTATTGACAATGCCTAAGTGTAGACGGGTTTTTAAGTGACCTTCCTCAAGAACTCATGAATTCTTGCAAATACACAGTGTAAAACCCATAAAGAATAGCATCATTGTATGAAAACAGTTATGAAGTTGCATTTTTTATGGGGCTAGGGAGACCTGAGTTAAGAAGGCATCAGGCCTTCAGCAG